AAGGTGCAGTCTGGGACCCCGGGGACCCCCCTCACCTGCGCATGGCCCCGGCGATCCCCGCGATCCCGCCGATCCCGGGACTCCAAGCCCCGGCAGCGCCCGCGGCCGCGCGCGGAGCGCCGGGAGCCGCGGCCCGGAAGGAATAGGAGAACTCTGTTTCTGGGAGAAACAGGGACTTTGCCCCGGCACGGCCGAATGAAGGAGCGCTGTAACCTCAGAGAAGCCCTAGGGAGGTCAGGTGAGGGGTGTAACGCGAACAAGCGGGGTGCGAACTGAGCGCTGTGTGACCCAGACGAGATAAAGAACAAACGTGACGGGTTCGGAACACTGTGACGCTGTGCCTGCCCCAGAACGGAGGTCAAGACGACGAGGAAGACCCGGAAGGACCAAAAAAAAGGACTTCGAATAAGGGTGCGGCTGTGTAAACCAAACTGATGAGGTAAGCGAGAATATCCAATGGACATGTAAACAGTATGTGTAATAAAAAGCCGTATCTACCTGTCATCTGGCACCTTCGATTAGAGGAGCTATCCTCCGAACCTCCAGCGTGCTGAATAAAGAATGCTTTCTTCAACACCTACAAAGTGGTGTTTAGAAGTTTGTTTCTTTTGCTTTTCGGTGTCAGGACCAGCCGGGAGAGCCACGCACCCGTTTAACCCCCGCTGCTGCCAGTAACTGCGGTGAGCAGTGCCTTCCCCTCCTTCAGGGACACTGTTAGGCAAGGCAGGTGTGGTGCAGCAGAGGAAAATAAATATAACATTTGCACCCCTTTGGTAATTTGCAGAACAGCTCGAAGTGCAAAGAATTGAGCATCAGGGCACCTCTGCTAAGTGTGTGACCGTTCACCTCCCTCGATTAGTAAAAATAATTTGGAATGTGCATTACAGTCACACTCGTGGTCCCTCTGGATGGTATCCCTTCCGTCCAATGTGTGACTGCAGGACACAGGTGGTGTCATCTGCAAAGTGGCTGAGGGTGCCCTCAATCCCACTGTCCCTGTCACCAACACAGCTGATAAACAGTGCCAGTCCCAACCCTGAGGACAGCACTCATCACTGCTCCCCACTTGGGCATCAAGCCCCTGAACACAACTCTCCAATCCCTCATCCACCGAGGGGTCCATCCATCACATCCACGTCTCTCCAGTTCAGAGACAAGGATGTCACCCAGGACGGTGTCGAATGCCTGGCACAAGTCCAGGTAGATGACAGCAGTTGCCCCTCCCTCATCCACGTTGACTGGTTATCAAGGTGAAAGGCAGCAGGCACGGCCACCTACAGAAACTCCGGGCACACCGCGCGGGTCTCGGTGCTCTGGAGAAGGAGAACCCTCCCGGGCGGACACGGCGGCGCCCCGCCCCTGCCCGCTCTCGGCGGCCATTGGTCAGTCTCGCTGCCACTCACGGTCCCGCTGCTCCGATTGGCTCGCCGGGCGGCGCGGGGCGGGGCGTTGCTATGGGGACGGGGACGCGCGTGAGGGGCCCGGCGCTGAGGGGCCGTGGCCGCCCGGCAGCGGGGCCGCGGGGACGGCGGGTTTTCCCCGGGGGTTCGGGTCCGCTCGCCCTCCGCCGGGACCGCAGCTGGGTCGGTCCGAAGCCTGGTGGTTGGGCAGAGATCCTGCGAGGAGTTTTGCCGGGTTACGTGTGGTGCGCTGTCTGCTGTAAGGCCTGAGCCGTGCTGGCAACCAGAGCCAGCGGAGCAAAAGAGCCCGTGCTGTGGGTGCGGACAGAAGAGGTTGGTTGTTCTTTCCTCGGGTTCGCTGAACCCGAAGGAACGGCGTGAAGCTGAGTCAGGGCGGGTTTAGGTTGGATCTCAGGAAAAGGTTCTTCCCCCAGAGGGTGGTTGGGCACTGAGAGGCTCCCCAGGGCAGTGGGCACGGCCCCGAGGGTGCCAGAGCTCCAGGAGGGTTTGGACAACGCTCCCAGGCCCATGGTGGGAGTCTTGGGGTGTCCTGTGCAGGGCCAGGACTTGGACTCGATGATCCTCATGAGTCCCTTCCAACTCAACCCATTTTATGATTCTGTGTTCCATTATACGTTTTTTGTCATCACACAAAGTTATCCTTCCAGGACACACAGCTGAGAAAATGTGCTTTACAGACTGTACAAAACACAACTGGTTTTCTCTTCATCTGTCACTTGTTTTTTCCTGCATAGGTGAGCAGTGGGTATGGATATGGACAGTGTTTCTTCAGGCTCTTCCCTGCAGTGCCTTGCCAAATTACTCCGTGATGCTCAAGAAGAGGAGGAGGAGGAGGATGTGGTGAGAATAAGAATTCATAAAAATTGCTGCTTCTTTTACATACTGTACCATAGCCTAACCTTGTTAACCGAGGAAAAGCAAATCTCTCCTTCCCCAGAGTGTGTAAAAAGAGAATGAAAACTCTAGAAGGTTTTGGACTGACTGGAACAGCTGGTAGATACTTTTAGAGTAACAAGCTCTTGAGGGAGAGAATAAGGAAGATGCCCCAGGAAAGCAAGGACAGATTGTGAGCACAAAATATGAGGGAGGTTTAATTTTTCAGCCTGAAGGAAATGAGAACACCTAGCTGAAAGAGCCTGAGAAACTTTAGACTTCTCCCTACTTTTCCCTGAAGCCTGCTGGAGATGAAGGCAATTACAGCTAAATACTTCATATGATGGGAAAAAAGTTGCTCCTCAACTTCTGAGTAAAGACTAAAATATCCAGAGGCAACTGAGTGTACTAATTGTGTTTGTCAGGCATTGAAGAATTGCAGAGAAAATTGATCACTGAAGTGCAATAGATATTTTGGTGGTTGTAGAATAGTGAAAGGTGAATAATCATTCTAAGATGAATAATCTGAATGGATAATGAGAGAAATATCTCTCCATTCTTCTGTAGCAATTCATCTCAGGACAAGATGAGGAACATAGTTTTTGGAAAAACTGCATTGTTCCTGCAGCAATGCCTGTGTGCTGGGAAGAGATATTCCCAGGAGCCCCACAGGTGCCAATGATGTGAAAGGCCTCTGTGAAGGCTCAAAACTTTGCCAAGTTTCTTGAAATTTTGAACAAATCATGTTATGACATGGATGACAAAAATGGCAAATGCCTCAGTGTTCTTCCAAATCACTCCTCAACAAAGAGACAGCTGGCTGACCCAGCAGTTGTGCCCCAGGGCACAACTTGGAAATGGGAGTAATATTTGGGATAAAGGGGGTGCATGTCCCTTGAAATTTCCTTTCAGTAGGGTATAGATGTTGTCCTTCACACTCCAACTACTCTCCAGCTGTTTGATGCCTGCCTTTTAAAACTACCATTATTGCTGTACATCTCTGCAGTAAACATCCTGATTCTAAAAGAATTTGTTTACATCTTATTAATAAAATGAATGGCACTTCAGAGACAGAAATGGAAAATTGCCACGAGGGATGTCAATTAAGTCTGAGTCAATCTGGGTAAATTGAAATCTTTATTTTGATTTAATTTAATGCTCTGTGCATATGAGGCCCTTTTATTGAACCAAGGAATCTTCATATATAGAGAAATGCCTCACATTGGCCTATTAGCACTAAATTGATTCATAATTAGAGGAAAATATTGTTGCCTTATATGATCTCTACTGTCAAAAGGAATCCAAATGCTGTGATGGGGTTTTCATGTAGAACCCTTGGTTTCCTGTAATATTTTCATGGCAGGCAAAGCATGAAAATTTTGCCAGAATGCCATGGAAACTAAAACTCAAAAAGCACATCTGTCTGTATTACTGGGCTTCTGGAGTCCTGCTTAAGCCCAGTGTGTCAAGGTCACTTTCTGCTGTGTGAGAGTGAAAAAAAAATATTCAGTGGTTCAGTCATGAAACTCTGGGATAATGTTTTGTGGATTCCAGCAGGGATTTGTTTGACCTCAAATACAGACAGCATTTTATATTTACTGACATTATGGTTATAACTGAGCTTGGGTCCACCAGAATTGGTTGGTCCATTTGCCTTTTTTGCAGTCACGCTGCAGTTCTGTCGGTGCCATGACTCCTGGGAGTATTGGACCAGTAAAGAAAGAGACCACTGGTAAGGAGGAGTGTTTGTGTGCTTTAGCATTCAGTCCTGTGTCAGCAGACTTAAACAGCTGTAGTAAGTTACCACTGAAGGGTTTGCTTCAGTAAGAGTGGTCATCGACCTTTGAGATGGACTTTGCACCACATTTTTGCAGTTACTCTGTAAAATTATTCTTTTCCTGAAAGCTTAACTGTAAAATATGCAAAGAGAAGCAGAAAGGGTTCTAAAAACCTCCAAGTTTTAAATTTACCACCTTACTAGAAAAAATACTTCTCCATGCAGGACAGGCATAAATCATACTAGTCTGCCCATAAACTTTCTTCAGCACTTTAATTAATGGGAAAAAAATGGATTTCTGTGTTAGGAGGAGGTCCTCTTGTAAATCTCTGTTCACTGAAAAATTCTTATGTCAGGGGGCTTGGGGGAGATTAGTGTTTTGTCCTTTTACACTTTATCCATTTTGAAGCATTTGATGTTTTGTGCCTAAAAGGAGGATTTCTTGGACCTAGAGGTTGTGTAAAGGAGATTTAAGTGAAAGGAAAACATCCTCCCTCTGCAAATCCTCATTCATAAAATACTGAGGTAAAGGAGACTGTAATTACCTAGAATGCTTTTAATGCAAAGGTTTTTCTAAAACCCAGAAATATTTTTTTTCTAGGCTTTAGAAATGGCTTTTCTATTATTTTTTTTTTAATAATTGTAGAACAATATTCTAAGTTTTCAACAAACCTAGAGGAACAGAGACATTTCAAAAAGGTGACAGTGGGATTTTTCCTCATCCCATACAGGTACTTTTCAAATGAAATCTGAAAACAGGAAAACTATTTGGAATACAGAGGAGGTCCCAGAAGGATCTGAGTTTGATGATACCTGGGACCCCAGGGAACAGCCAGAGTAAGTGAGCTGAGACTGCCTGCATGGGCTTTACACAGCCTTAAATTTGATGAGATTTAAGCAGCATCCACTGCATTGGGGTGACACAGCCTTCTGAAGAGCTCGTGTTGCAGAGGAAGAAAGGAAGGATATCAGTGTTGCATCTAAAGCAACATGTGAGGAGTGGTTTTAACGCTTCTCTTCAAACCTTCTGATCTCGTAACAGAAACATGGTGTTGATTTTTCCCATCATAAGTTTACGTGCAGCGTCAGTTACTTGTATAAAGTGGGATTAGGAGAGGAAGTAGGTCAGCAAAATGATTTACTAGCTTGAAAATATGCCATTTATGTGAAATACTTGCTTTTTTCCTGCTGCAACCAAGATGGATCCATTTTTTCACACTCATAAATTCATAAAGTACTCCAACTTGTATTTGCATTTCAAAGATTTAAGCTCTGTAGAGACAAATAGTACTGCAGGAAGGAAAGCTGTATGCAGGCAGTTTTGAGCTTTTAAATTCTGTCATCTTGGTCTGTCAAAGGGACAACCTAAAACCAGAGCTTTTTCTCTTGCTGGTAGAAAAACAGTAACAAAAATGTTCTTGAAATGGATACAATCAGGCATGTCATTTGTAGTTTGCAGAGGTCAGGAAGCCCTCAGGGTCAAGGCATAAAGCAGCTTTTGCATTTGTAATTGTTGTGTTCCAATGCCATATCCTGGGGTGTATAATGCTGGAGCAGATGGAGTGTAGCCTGTGAAGCTGCACATTGTACACTGGTTTGTAGGCCAAAATCCTCATTTTTCTCTGCATGTGAGTCATGGTGTGAGGTCTTTGGTTTCCTGATCTAAACACGGGAGACACACCTGAACTTGGACTCAGCATTTCTCACAATGATTTGGCATTCACCCTTGCACACAGTTGTTCTTGAGGTGGTCACCTGTGAGGTGACCTCACACCTCTTTGTGTTAGGGGCACAACAGAAGCTTTTCCCATGCCTTTTTCTGACCCTTCCCCTCCCCAGTGCTTCTCTAGCCTCAAACATTTGTGACTCGTTGCACAGATGAAGAGAGCATATAAGTCTTTATAACAGTTCATCAAATGAAGTGGGGCAAATGTCCCACAAGGAAAACAGATGGCTACAGCAGTGCATCCAGAGCTATGAGACACTTTTGTCATTGATTTGGGAATTATTACATTTGCAGATGCCCACTGGAGATGTGAAAGACTTTCCATACACTCTTTCTAACAGCTTAGACAAGTGATCCACCCCACTTATTTTGTTGAATTTAGTAGGAGTAACATATGTTATAAATACAAATTTAGTTTGTATTTCCTCATTCATTAATTATCAAGAGGAAGGAAGTTTGTGATTGTACATTTTGTAGATGTGAAGGGGAAGAAAATAAATGTTGGCTGAATGCAAAACAATTGCAATCTGACTGAAGAGTGTTGTGCTCAGGCTGCAAGAATATGTTGAAGGGCAGAACAGATCACAGGTGGTAATTGTGACATCCCCTTTTTCAAATCCATTTCCCAAGAGTTTGTGGTGTTTGCCTAATTGATAAGTGTTGTATTCACTTAGGATGCATTTCCTGATCCCACAAAGGCTGGTTAGTGAAGTAGAGGCAGCACGGAGAGTGCCTTGGAAGGTGGAGTGAAGGATATTCACCTATTTTCTGACTCCCTCAGTCATGGCTGTGAACAGAAACCCAGTGCAGATGGATTGAAGTCTTGAAGGGAGACTGAAAAGGAGGAGAGACAACATGAGGATATTTACAGTCCTCTGAAAATGACAACCTCCTTTAGTCTCCTGCCCCTTCTCCAGTGTTCTTAGGCAGTGACTTCTCTTTCTCAGGTATGAGATTTTATTCAAGCAGTCTGTGGGAACAGAGGATGTCTTCTTTGGGATGACAGGGAAGGACCCCTCCACCGCCTGCTGTGAGGATATAGTGGTGAGCTGAGCCTGGATCTCCAATCCCTTCTTTTTTGCTCTTTTTCTGCCTTTTTCCCTCTTCCCAACTGCTTGAGGGACAGACTGTAAACACCAAACTGTGCTGCTGCCTTTGGCCTCCTGTAGCATTTTCTTGTAGTTCTTCAAGCATTTGTGGATGATATTTACACTTGCTAACCTGGGGAACTCATGTATCTCCTCAAGCACCAAGTGTACTCCAGGGAATCTGTGCAAATGCGTGTGCCACGTATGAACTTAAGGGAAATAAAATGTAGCTCTAAGCAGAAGTTTCACCTTGGATACAATTTTGGAGGGAAGGCGGGCTGGGAAGGAGATTGTTTTCATCTGCCTGCATTTTTCACAAGGTTTATGGGTTAGCAGAATGCTACAATACTGGCAGTCCTTAAAGTTACAGGTGTCAGATCCTGTCCCATCATTATATAATCAGATACCTCCTTGGTTTCTGAACTTCAGGATGGGTGGAACTGCTGTGTTATTTTTCTAGCAGAAGCAAACTTTCCCTGCAATACACAAAGCCTGAGGCTTTTGCTGGATATAGAATATCTCTCAAGCACATTAGCAGTTCAGGATTTTTAAGAAAATAGGATGTCAATAGACATCACTAAGCTATTGAAAGCAATGATTATCACCCTCATATATTCTGTGATACAAATTACCTACTCAAAATGTTGCTCTTTGACACTGGCATCAAAATATTCATGAAGATGAGATCTTTTATGGCTTGTAGGGCTACATATGTAATCAAAGCTTTGCCTCTGCCCCTCGTTTCAGATTAAAATCAAGCTGCCAGAGACAAAGTACTCAGACATCACATTAGATATCCAGGACAAGGTTCTTGACCTTCGAACTCCCAAAAAGTAAGTGTAACACAATTGATAGAAGTGCAGGACAGTTAATACCTTCTTTGAAATGAGGTTTAAGCAAGCCTTCAAGTGAAGGCTGTCTGGAAAGCAACGTTAGAGATGGGGATCAGGTTTATTAATTGCACATGAGAAATAGATATAGACAAAAGCAACCATAGGTGTGCACTGTGCTGGCTTTGAGTCTCTGATGCTGCCAAGTGAAAAACAGCTTTAAGACAGATTTTGGCTACTTAAACAACAAGGCCTCAAGGGCCCAAAACATCTGGCAAAAAGCTGCCCAGGTTCTTGAAGGACATCTTGTCCAGTATTTCTAAACAGTAATTTGTGCCAATACATGACTGAAGGTGGTAAAAAATGGGCAGATACGTTTTCAGAAGCTGAAAGCCAAATTATGGACATATCCAGGCAGAGATGCAGAGATGAAAAAATTACAAGTTTTCCCCAGAGATATTTCCTTTGAGTTCTTTTTATGGGGCTATTTCAAACCTACGAAGATAATCCACTGACTTGGACTTTTCAGCCTTCCTCTGTCTTTCCCTCAGTATACAATTGTCCTGCCTGAGATTGCCAGATAATTCCCATGTCTGTTTTGCTTGAAGTCCTTTTTCAGAAAGAGTGCTGTCATAAGAAAGCTTAATCCTCTCTGGACTGACTTGCTGTATTGAAAGGGATGTGGGAAGATCTATATGTGAATAGCTTTCTGCAAATAAATTCAAGGTCCAGGCCATGGATTAAGGCCAAAATAAGTTTTGTCTCTAGTAGACTACCTACAGAAAAGCCATTTTTCTCACAGCTAAAGCCAGGCAAAGTCAGTTACCTCGTGCTTGGTTTTAACCCAAAGATGCAACAGAGGCAGAAGAAAGTTTGGAAGTGCTAGTTCTGAAGTGGAAAACTGGGAGGAATAATTGTTCAGCTAATGACTTGCAGAACCTATGGGCAGTAAAAAAGGTGGCTTACTGCAATACTGCAGATGTAGGAAAACCTCAGCATCCTTTTTCTTTTGCAATTCTATCTTTTTGGTGACTCAGATCTGCCATTACCTTCTCAGTACCCAGCTGTCTCTAGTCACAAGCCTGGCAAATAAAAAGTTCACCGTAAAGCTAATGGTTGCTTGGGTACAGCCTGAACCAGTGCTGCTTTCACAAATATAAGTGCAAGCCTTCTCAGTATGAAAGAAACAACCAAGATTTTAAGTTCTATGTGCTGAAAAACACTGTTCTCTCACAGATGGGTAGGAAGACTCAAAGGAACTGCTCCCAGCTCTGTAGTCCTGGGGCTGCTTCTAAGCCAAGCTGATTTTAAGGACTTCTCCAAATTATAGGAAATGTCTTCCTTCAATAGCTGTGGTGCAAAGGTGTTTTTACTGTACCTCTTTCAGCCATGGCTCCTACAAGACAGCTGAAAAGGTCTGAAAAAGAATCAACAAAGCTTAAACCCCAATTTGAAGAAACCCTCATCTATGCTACCATGTTATTTTATTTTGCTGGGCTTTGTAGAGTTTGCCTGGGCGGATCTCTTGATTCTACAGTGTCCTGGATTCTCTTTGCACTGTCAATAGAGTGGAGATCCAAGACTGGCCCATCATTCATATGTTAGTATGTAACCCTGGGATAAGAGGGGAAAGAGTTCAGACTCTGCATGAGCAAGTAAGTTTGAACTGTCATCAGTGAGAAGAGCTGAATGAATCCAGACTGAGACATCCTTGGGAAGAGAGAAACCTGGAGGCTTGTCAGCCATTCCAGGGAAAGTTGTGTCTGACATAGTATTGGACTGTGGAATAGTTCCTGAGCCCAAGACCCAGCCTTTCTTTTTTGTATAATGTCCCTGAGCCACAGGCAGAGGGGGATCACTGAATTTATCTCCAGTGTAGGTTAAAATCCCAGCAACTTCATCAGTGTAAGTCCATTCCAATCCCTGGACTGTGCTTTACAGTGTATTATCAGTGCAGTTCCTCCTTCCCCTGCATTTAAAATGCAGCACTGTGCAAATGCAAGAGCAGTGGAGAGAGCCTGCAATCCATCATTGGAAACCACTGTCACAGCCACAGCCAAAGGGAAGGAATAGTGTTGGAAATGTTTCAGGGACCATGTAGTTGTGCAGCAGGTACTGCAGGAACCCCACAACCTGTCACGGGAACGAGATATCCTGGAACATTCTCTGGGATACTGACTGGAGAATTGCAGCAGTAACTTGCAATGACATCTCAGTTGCTCACCTGGTCTGAGACACTGAAAGTCACTGTCTTCTTTTACAGGAAGCTGCTGCTGCACCTCCCCTACCCTGTCAAGAGCAAGGAGGGTAGAGCTCGTTTTCTCTCTGAAGAGGAGATCTTGGAAGTCACCTTGAGAGTATCAAGGCAGTTTGATTTCATAAATTTTTCTGACGGATAGAGAGATAGAGAAAGTTTGACAAAACTAATCTTCTGGTGTGAAGTCTCCTTGAAACCCAACTTGTCATGAAATAGTAGATTGTTTCCCTTGAACAGTCCAGGGGGAATATCTCTGGAGAAAGGAGTCAGGAGGGACAGGGCACCCACAGGTACTAAAAGCTGAGCCTGTCTGGTTCTTGTGCTGCTCTGGTTAACTTTCTGTTTCCTTCAGTCTGATACAGGCTCTGTGAATTAGACAGTGGGAGATTACAGTTCTGTCAGCCAGAGAAAGCCTTTTGTGTGGCTGTGGCTGAGAGGTAGCACAGTGAGTGTCTGGTCAATGAGTCCAGTGCTCAGCTACTGTTTCAAGACTTTCAAGTGTTAATATCCTTGCCTGGTCCCCAGTGCTGTGGCTGGGGCCAGTTCAGAATCTCCTTTCACCCTTGGTGAGAAGATCATCAAAGCTCTTCAGGGATCCAAATCCACATCTGAGGCTCCTTTACGCTGGCAGAACAAGTTAACCAACTACAATTGGATTGTTGAACGTCTCGGCTCTTTTGAACAATTTTTGACAATGTATGGTTCAGTGTCTTCCATTCACCTGCTGTCCCTCCAGCTATTTTTCTGATCTTTCCTGATTAATAAAATAATATGTTCTAAGGAAGAGTTCCAGTTACCTCTGACTCTGCCTTCTCTCTATTATGTCCCCAGAGACCTCCTAAAAGTTGAGATAAGAGGAGCTTTGCATAACAAAGCATTACTCAAAGGGCTGAAAGGCTGCAAAATCTGTTCTTTGGCCTTCAGGACCAATCTAGAGCTACAGAGATGGGTAACCAAGATGTTTCTCTCACCAGCTTCGGGGCAAATATATTCTTTTAACATTGTTAATCCTGCAGAATACAAAGGTACTTGCTCGGTGATCAAAGTGGAGAGGACAAGCAGGCCCTGGCATGTTAATGGTACACTTAACCCAAACTTGTAAGCACTTTCAGAGCAAAATGGCTCAGAGTCCTGCATTCTTTTGGTGCAGAAGTAGAGGAGAATAACTGACCATCTAGGTTGCAGACAGCACCCATGCAGCTAAATTTGTGGCAAGCTGTAATGAGAAGATGGATTGAAGACACTAATAGTGAGTTTATAGGTATATTTTCTGTTTTTTTCAGGAATTTTCAGAATTCGCAGTATCTTTTTAATAAGACTGCATTATAACACCAGGAAAAATGAAGCTAGTGTCTGGACATTTCAACCACTTCCCTGAAAAGTGGACCCATTGCTTGGGTCAGAATAATTCTAATCAACTTCTGCTTTAGCCTTAATGGACTGGAAAGCAGATGCCTCAGTTATGATTCATCACAAGCTATTAAATATGCCAATAACACTCAGGGGCTACTCCAATTTGTATTTGCTTAAGTTTCCATAAATTACATTTGAATGTCTCTTATTCCAAAGCTGTGGTTGAGGGGAACAATGTAGATGTACAAAAAGGCTGAGATCACTCCTCCTGACTCACTTTTTCCCTGCTGTGCTTGCCAAACAAGCTGTTTCTTGGAAAAAGGTTATCTTTGTGGTCCCTAGACAATATGCTGCTTCGTTTTTGCATCCCTTATACACATTACAAGAAAAGTGGAAGATTGACTGATTTATACACATGTGAAGATAACATTTGTCCAAATTATTTCAGTGTCTCCATGGCAAAGCAGATGCTCTTCTGAGCCCTATTCCATTGCTCTATCCACAAGGTTATGTTGCCTTTATAGCTGGCAGTAGTAATTTACTAAGCCTTACATCATCAAGCTCTGCTTAATTTAATGTCAGTGTTTGATACTGAAAACAATGGTGAGTTTGGCTCCTTGTGCCTCTCTCCAGTGTTTTAGTTTCTTATGGAAATGAGCCTATGCCACACTGGTATCCGTATCGTGATTCCTCTCCACGTATTTTTTTTTAACCTGGGGACATTTTTATCTGCATTCAAGAGACAAAAATCTGAGGTAAGTATGTTTTATAAGAAAGTCAGCTGCTGAATAGAAAAGGGAAATAAAAATTCGTACTGCCTAAGGGGGACGTTCTGGTGTGATTTCTTGTACCTGCTGGCCACCCACCCTGTGCACCCACACTCCAGATTACTGCAGGCCATCCACACCACTCCATGAAGGGAGCATGGCAAGCTGGTGACACAGCAGGAAAGGGACATTTGCTGACAGGGGGAAGCTGAAATCACACTGTGAGGATATATGGACATGGGACAAACTCATAGGCAGCCAGGCTTTGTGTGTTCCACTGCTCCAAAGCACATTTCAGGAGGGTAGAAACACTGTCCTGGTGTTTGCTGTGCTGGTCGGGTCCACCCCTGACTGCACCATCATCACCTGGAGATCCTCTCACATTCTTTCTTCCTATCAAGGACACAGGAGCTGCCCTAGGCAGAAGGTTGGGATTAGGTTGTTTGGGGTTTTTTTTCCAGTTTTATCCCAAGATAAAACTGATTAAAAGGACAAGCAGGTTGTCAAACATCCCAGAAATCTGGAGGCTACTGCCAGCTACAAGGGTTGACTTTTTTGCAAGGGCTTAAGGGCAGCTTTGCTTTGTTGAACTGGCACTGGCAGAAATCTTTTAGAAGGGGATATAGAACCCCTTTTGCCTCTGAACATCAAGGCTGCTGCCCAAGTGCCACTCCAACACCTGCAAGCATCTTAATTAATCAAAATTATGAGCCCAGTTAAACAACCCAGCCATTAAGCCCCAGCCATTAAGCATCATCAAGCTTTATTTGGATCTCTAAGAAACAACTTGATTAAATGTATTGCAGTTAAGGAGAGGGTACTGTAGATGTGGAAATGAGATAGAGGCTTGTCTGCAGTAGTATCCCAGTAAACTGCAGGTTGTCATCTCTCCTTGTTCACACATTCTGTCCTCCAGTTGTGGCTGGAGAGCCACCATCCCCATTTTGGCTTCTTCCTGCCTTCTCTCAGAGCTATGCTGGTGTGCTAAAATACATGGCCCAGCTTGCTCTCTGAGTTTCACCTCTCTTCGTGTTCCCCTTTGTCCACACACTGCCCCAGGGCCAAGTTACTTGCCTCATTCTAGAGCTTGAGAAAGAGAAAACCCAGAACAGTTGCTCTGCATGAACACCCGAGACAGTTCAAGAACTTAAATTTACATTTTTCCTTTAAACCTGCAGGCTTCTGGGCTGCTCTCATTCCCATGTTTCTCCAGGTCTGTTGTTGGTATCATCATATATCCCTTCTATTTGTTTTAAAAGGAAGACCACTTAGTTTTTCTGCTGCTCAGTTTAAAGTTTGTATCCAAAATTTATACATATTTATTCCACCGTGTGAAACGCTGCTTTATTGGTATATGCCTCCCCCCAGATAAAGTTCACCTAAAATAACTGAGCTGTATTTATATGTATGGAAAGATCTCTTCCTCTCATGTTGGAGCAGTTGCCTTTAAACCTGCTGGTGTTGGCAGACCTTTACCCTCTGCTCTACAGCACCTGCATCTGGGATTCATCCTTGTTCTCTGGGATCCCCTTCAAGAACTGCTGCCTCTGAGGGTCATTGTTTTCTGCTGATGGTCTTGGCTCCAGGGAAGGTGCCTGGAATATGCTGGGGGTTGGGCTATTTGTTTTGTATACTCTTCACAAACAGGAGATGATTTCCCTCTTTGTGTCTCTCTTCACTCCCTGCCTTCACATTTGGGTAGAATTCACTTCCAGGTCGTGATGAATTCAGTGGATTGAACAGCATCCCTGCTCTTCCTTTTCCCTCACGATTGTTTGTTCTGTGCTCATTTTAAGGGACTTTGATCCCTTCTCTCCTTTCCTAAGTGCTTTATCTCCCTTCCCTCGATTGTTCCCACATTAGGACATTTCTCACCGGAGTCTCCTGACAGATTTCAGCTGACATATCTGATCCTTACTGGATGTACCCAGTAGGGGTGAAGTGTGTGATTCATCTCCCTCCCTCAGCTCAGTGCTGGGTGAAGAGCTTTGTCCTTCCTTGCTGCGTGTCCAGTCTGGGTGGGTGGGGAAGGGACACAAGCAGGAGCACCACAGGCACATCCTAGAGTGTGTTCAGGCACTTACATTGAAGGACCATGACACAAAAGCAGCAGATGCTGCAGGTGAAGGCAGGGCTGTGTGAGGAGGGTTGGCAGAATTGTGGAGTAGCTTCTTGAGTCTTTGCTTCAGACACAGCCAGTCCCACAGGTCCCTGGTGTAAGTTCTGTTAGGAAGAAATGAACCGATTCAGAAAAAGTCAGAACCATTCGGAATTCCAGCCTTTCCCAAGGCCTGAAAAGTTTCTCTCTGCTTCCTGATGTGTGTCTCCATGTCTCAGATGAGTACTTACAGAAGTTTTAGAAATCCACTCCAGAGAAAAAGTGATACAGGCAACACAGGAGTGCCTTTGGAGTACTTTCAATCCACTGAAATCTTTCATCATTTTGGGCTTTCTCATCTCAAGGTCTCCCTTTCATGTTTTTCTCTGCCTTCACACACTCATTTCTGAAGAGAAGATCATAGGAAGTTGCCAAAATGATGGCAGATACTGTCCACCTACAATCCTTAGAGACCATTTCTATTTAATTGGGAGCCTCCTTCGTGGATCCCAGCAGCCTGACAGCTCACTTCTGGTGCTGATCAACATTTTTTTTCCAAACCATGCTGTTTTAACTTAATGGTATCACAACCCAGCAGAGACTGTCAGGACAGCTAGGTTGTGTATTTACTGAAACAATTCTATGATTCTATTGGCAGCCTGTCTCCTGCAGCTGCTCAGCAGAGAGGAGAGGAAAAAAAAAAAAAAGCCATACACTTCTGGAAAATTCCTTTCATGTTGGAAAGCTGTGTAAAAAGGAACAAGATAGGAATGAAGATGGACACAGCTGATTTTGTTAACTCATAAGATCATGTGGGCAAGACAGACATTTGCCAAACAGTGGCAGATTAGGAACTGTAATAAATGTAAGCACCAATGCTCGAGTTTAATGATGCTGTGAGCTCTGGGTGGGTTCCACCCCTCACATATGCCCAAGTAATGAGAGTTTACCAACCCTGTGGGTTTCTCTGGTTGGGGACTCTGGTGATGAGACCCCCTAACCCAAATTCCTGCAGCCATATCCCTGAAGCAGAGCCTTGGGTGACACTGTGGCAAGCTGGCAAGTGTATAGAGGGGAACGAGGGATTGATTTCACCTGGGATACTCAGCTGTATCTAATTATCTATATTTCTCACCTGAGCTGATCCCAGTCACTGAGGGGTCGGAGGACTCCACCCAGGAAGAGATAAATGGTGAGGAGCAGTGCTGTGAGAAACTAGGCAAGCAGGGGAGCAGGAGCAGTGTGAGCCATGTTTGTGGTACTCCTGGAGTGAGGAAGACAGGATGGAAAGTTGCATGACTACTGTACAAGAAACAGCAAGGTCAATGGAAGACACATGATTCATCTTGGCTTTTGGATTATCTGTGCTGTGCCTGGGAAGTTCAAGAGGCAATTGGGCAACAGAAGGATGTGGGAAGCTCTGATAAGGTGAGAAACGTTTCTGGCTTTGTTCTGAGTTATGGGCACTGTGTGAAGGTTGGAGTGTCAGTGTGACTTAGCTGGTGTGTGGCTCTTGGTCAGCAGCAACTGTATGAACTGTAACGAGCTTTGGGGGTGCCTGAGATGCTGAGAGGAGCTACAGGAGGTCACAGGAAAACACTGAAAATTACACCCTGGCGCCAAGTACAACTTGCATCATGATTTGCCTTCAGTAACTTTCTGTCAGAGCTGGATGATGGTGGATCTGGGGAGCTGCTTGGGGGCCAGAGACTAATGTGGGTGAAGGTGTTTTGGGCCATTGCTGCTGTGTGTGGTGGAGAGCTGGGCAAGGCTCTGAGACTTGGTGCTGAGAGCACCAGTGAGGCTGGAGGGGGCAGGCAGAGCTACGTGGGGATTTGGGGCTCAGGGAATAGGGGGGCATGTAGGACTGAAGCTGTGTTGTAAGGCAGAGAGCAGCAGGCTAAATCGTGGGGGTGGAGTGGGACAGTGAGAGTGGGGGAGCAATGTGTGTTGGGCAAAAGCACAATTGGGAGAAGAAAGACATTATTAAAGTCTCTTTAAAATGACTGTGTTGAAGGGGAAGGTCAGAGCAGACAATTGTCCTGAACTAAGGGCAAGTGAGTGTCACCAGCACTAGAAATTCTGTGCAAAAAGAAGCTGTGGCAAGGGGACTGTGCCTGGAATAGCTATGAGGTCTCCAAGAGGGCCTGAGTGCTGAGGTCACGTAGATCTATTGAGCTGGGAACCCTGTCTGGCTTCAGGGGTCAGCCCAAGGGGGCACGTGGCAATTACTTTCATCAACAGTGGATGAAAGTGGAATTGGAGTGGGAGGAGTGGGAAGTTCATGAACCCTCTCAAGTGCTCCCAACAGCCTCAGTCTGTGTTGTCCTTGCTGTACCTATTTCTGGGTAAGCAGAGTTAGTGTGCAGTGCCTGGGTGACAGATTGCTGTGCCCTGACTTGGAACAGTGGATGTCACATCTAGTTTTAGGCCTACATGCACATGCCTGCTTGTCTCTATCCTTTTCCCTATTTAGAGCAGCCCATGTTTATTAAAAAACCCAAACAAACAAAAAAAACCAAACCTACCCAGGAAAACAAACAAAAACCCACCACAAGCTGTTGCTCTAGGATCAATAGATAAAGGAGGGAATTAGAGTTGTTGTTATTCTGCAGCCAGGTGCTACCTTCAGACCAGGAGTAGGGCATCTCTTGGATGCAGAAAAGGGTTTCATCATCTGGAAAGATTCCCCAAGGTTGCCCTGAACCAGGGCTTGGATAAGAGGGTTGAAGCTGATTAACTGTTTGCTTTGTTTGATATGTATCCTGAATGAAGAGAATAGTTGAAGTCATAGAAAACTCCATTTC